AGAGAGAGAGAGAGAGAGAAAGAATTTTTTAAAAATATTTATTTTTTAGTTTTCCACGGACACAACATCTTTATTTTTGTATGTGGTGCTGCGGATCGAACCCAGCACCATGTGCATGCCAGGCTAGCGMGATACCGCTTGAGTCACATCCCCAGCCCTGCCCAGGGCTTTTTATTTATTTTGAGACACCTTCCCAAGTTGCTGGGATTGCAGGTGTGCACCATGATGATGTGTGTTTTATATTTTTAAAGCATGATCAGGACTATARCTTTTTTTTTCTTTCCCTTTAGAGACAGTTACCAAATTGAAAATAGCAGTTTTGGAGTTAGATAACCTAGTTTCAAATGTCAACTCCATTACTTATTATCTGTGAAATTTTGAATAAATTAGTAAACCTGTCTGAAATTTTACTGACCTATCAAAACACCTATTTTTATAGGTATGTGGAAATTAAATAGTGAATACAAATAAATTAAGTACTACTGAGTTAGCTAACTCATTATAATAAATAATATACATATTTTTGTGGTACTGGGGACTGAAGTCTTCTGGGATTCTCTACCATTCAGCCACATCCCCAGCCCTTTCCTTAAAATTTTGAGACAGTCTTGCTAAGTTGCAGAGGTTGGCTTGGAACCTGCAATCCTCCTACCTCAGCCTTCAGGGTCAATGAAATCATAGCCATGTATCACCATGCCCAGCATAATAAACAATTACTAGAATAACAATTTAACATAAAAATATTAATAACAATTTAACATAAAAATCTGATTTTTATAGCATGTTATATTCAAAAAGGAAAAATTATTTTGGGGGGGAAGGGATGAGATTTGAGTTAGTGAAAATATGACAACACTGAGGACATTTTTTGCTAGGTGGCTTTTTTCAGACTGATAAACTTGTTAAAGCCAAGATAAGTTTATACAATATGATATTCAAACCAATAATAAGCACACAAAAAATTCATGAAAATGATACATTTGAGCCACTCATTCATATTTTGAAAAAAAATAAAATACTGCTTTTAATCAAAAAAATCTGGTTTTGACTAACTTAGTAACACCAAAAACTAAGTGTCTACACTTTAGAAGAACCCAGCAAATGTCCTGGAGAAAATGTTAAATGAAAAATAAGACAGGACTAGGGGCTCAATGGTAGAACCCATACTTCACATGAGGTACTCAATTCCAACCTGAATTCCAGGACCACGAATGAAACAACAAAAGTAATAAACTATAAGATCTCCTTAAAAACCAAACATTTTACAAAAACTCTTCCAGCAAGACTGTTGCCATCAAGTGTATCAAGAACAATGAATCTGTTGATGAACTACAGTGCCTAAACGGCTTTAAGTGGTTTATTATTTTACTTTTTTTTTTTTAGCCTTTATTTTATTTTTATGTGGTGCTGAGAATAAAATCTAGTGCTTCACCCCTGGCAGGTGAGCGCTCTACCACTGAGCTACAGCCCCAGCCCCTTACTTTTAAAATTTTGAACAGGCAATTGAACCCAGGGTTTTGTGCATTCAAAACAAGCCCTTGGATGTATAACCAATGTGATCCTGCAATCTGTACACGTGGAAAAATGAGAATTCATACCCTATTGGAATCAAATGTATGATATGTCAAGATCATTGTATTGTCTTGAGCAACTAATTAAAAAAAAAAAAGCCCTCAACCACCAAATTTGCATTCCCAACCCTTTATCATTTACTTTTTAGACATTGCAACATCCCACGATTTATAATGTCTCTTCTTCCACATGACAATATGGGGCATTTTTTAAAAAGTAATGCAATTTCTGGGCTGGGGTACCTAGCACGTGAGAGGCATTGAGTTTGATCCTCAGCACCACATAAAAAGAGAAATAAATTTTTAAGAAGTTAAAAAACTTTTTTAAAAATAATGCAATTTCCGTAAAGAACCTGACGCTGGCTGTTGGTACTATCAGTTACTATGGAAAAAATCAAGAGTTGCTTAAGACGCTCTAACATTCTTTTTCTTCCCTTCAGAAGTCACCCTGCAGGGCTAAAGATGTACCTAGCACGAGCTTTCCTAACAGGCGGGAGGCCTTGGATTTAATTCCCAGCACTGGAGGAGGGAGTCATCCTGCCTTATACACCATGAAAAACAACTAAATCTGAACCTTGTAACATGGCTCAGAGTATACTCCGTATTTACACTACGTTGGATCTGACTTTAGCTTTTGGTTTAGCAGTTTGTGGCTAGTGGCACTTCTTTAAATGTTCCAATTCTCATAAACGAAAAAGTGGGTGGTGGTGGGCCATGGAAAGTTTTGATTCAAATGACGTCTGCTAGCTATCTTGGAAGGCTTTTTTTTTTTTTTTTTTTCCCCTTCAGACCACGAAGACACAGGCACATGGGGATCTGCTTTCCCCATATTCCACTCCTGAGTCAGGCCCCAATTCCTCTCACTTTCAATCCCACTTCGGGCTCCTAAAAGAGTGCAAATAATAATCTCATAGTAAAGACTCTAGAGCTCTAGTCTTCAAACGGGGTTCCGCTGGTTCGGAGGGGAAAAGATGATCCACCCACGCCTGCCTACGCTTCTTGGCCTTCACGATCTGACGCYCAACCCCGGAGCGAGCTTTGGCCTCGCCGGTGCCTAGAGGTGCGCGCTCGCCGAGCAATGGCCCCTGTACAAGGGATGGGATCCGGGGCGCGTGCCGGCACAGCGTCAGGCGGAAGATGCTGGCGCTGAAGACGGGCGGTTCCCAACGGTGTGAGTGGGGGAAGGGAGCCAGGCGAACCCGGAAGTCGGTCTGGSTGAGAGGGTGGGACCTGGGGGAGACTTCCGGTGGCGCAAAGGGTGTCGGGAGCAGCTTCCAGCAAACCTTCCCCGGCCTCTGGAGGGACCACCGTTGCTGTAGTCTTGGCTTCCGCGACCTGCATTCGAGCAAACGGCCACAGCTGCCACCACTGAGGCTTCCCTTGTGCCCGGTTTTGACCGTATTCGTTCCTAGGCGGCCGCCGCCGTTGTAGCAGCGGCCGCGGCCGACATGTTGTGAGGCGGCGGCGCGGGTGTCTGAAGGATGGTTTGGCTGAGGCGGCGGCAACGGCTGCTTGCGGCGGCGGCAGCAGCGGCGGCGACGGCGGAGGCAGCGGCAGCAGCAGCAACAGCAGCAGCAACAACAGCAACAGAGTCTCGGGCTCTGTAGAGCCGAGCCCTGTGGGTGTCTGCCCGGTACCGCGGCGAAGCCAGTTCCTCTGGATCTTGCCTCTGCGCCAGCAGTTTGGGAACAGCTTAGGCGATAGCACCCACCCCTCTGAGGAGACAAGGAGGTGGTTCCCCATCCACTCAAAATTTCCAGACCACCCTTCGGTTCCCCTCCCTAAGCCGGACAGTGCTGTCCCCAGAATCTCCAAGCCCCCGACTTTACTCTTATCTAACTCGCCCTTAATCTCTCAGTCCAGTGTTCCTCGCCCTCTGGAGTCCGCTCCTCCCCCTTTTTCATTTTCTGTATCCTCTTCTAAGAGCGCCCCTCGGATCACTCTGAGGGCAACCTTTTGAGAAATCTCAGTGGAGTTGTGGACTAGAGCCGGGGAGTGTTTTAAAAGTCGAGTTAGAAAGACAGGAAGGTACGATGGCTTCCTCGTCTGGCAACGATGATGATCTCACTATCCCCAGAGCTGCTATCAATAAGATGATCAAAGAGACTCTCCCCAATGTCCGGGTGGCCAACGATGCCCGAGAGCTGGTGGTGAACTGCTGCACCGAATTCATTCACCTTATATCTTCTGAAGCCAATGAAATTTGCAACAAATCGGAAAAGAAGACCATCTCACCAGAGCATGTCATACAAGGTAAGTCTTTGTGTGGAATTTGGTTTAAATTAGCGTCCAGGGGGACAGTTTGCTAGTTCGTTTCAAAAAGCCTTCATTCCTCTTCCTGGTAAGTAGGTGTTAAAGAAAAAGCCACACAAGCAAGGAGGCAGCTGATGCCTTAAGAAAATACCTATGTAGCATTTTGGAGGTAATTTTTATCCAKTGAATACAGGAGGGAATGCAAATATTAAGGTCAACATTTATCCTCCAAACGAGGTATCAGTATAATTTATCTCTAGGTCTCAAAGCAACAAGAATTGCCTCTCTGCAGTTGAACTTGGATAATGATAACTGAGAAAGAACCCAGGAGTTCTTCCTTTAGACAGAAGAACTTCAGGCAAGAGTAAAGTCGTAGCATTTCTTCCCCACCTGGCCTTTTCACGATGTAGAGGAAAAGATTCATTTTTTTGAACACATAAATTTTAAAAACTCAATATGAGTGTGTTCGGTGTTGTAAAGTTTATTGGTGTTGAATAAAGGAAGTATATTTTCTGCTTTAAATATGATTTGATGGTGGCTCATTCATCTACAAGTTACCAAAGCACTCCTATTCTGTAAGAAAAAGGCTGTTCTCCTTTTCCTTCATTTTTTTTTCTTTTTCTTTTTGGTTTTATGTTGCTGGCTTTGTTCTTTAGAGATAAGTTTTTAAAGCTTAGACTGAAAGATTATTTAAAGGATGCTTTTTTTTCTTTTTTAGTGGAACATTTCCCTATCATTGCTGCCATTCCTATTTGGAGGTAGATTCTTTTTTTTTTTTTTTTTTTTTTTTTAACTCTCAAGCTTTTATTGAAAAGCACTTCTGAAAGTTTTGGCATTTCTTCTCCTGTATCTTGGAAAGGATTTGGGAGACTGTATTCTGATGGTTTCTGGGAGGGAAGATACCAGTTGCAGTGTTTTGGAATACACTTTCTGTGACTTTTCATACCCTTATGAAAAAGTTGGATTCGAGGTGATAACTTTTTTTGTAATAACCTAATTAAAATTCTAACAATTTCTTGATTGCTTTTGAGGTCAGAAGAAAATCATGTTCAATTTTAACCATATTAGTATGCAGGTCGTTTTTTTTAATGGGTTAACTTTCCTGTTATTGTCAAATGGAGAACACATCTGCTCATATTGACTGTGTCTACTATTTTACTGTCAATATTGACAAAAGATTAAGTGTTTCATTTTTGATCCTTTATTAGGGTCCTGGAGGTAGATTTAAAATATTCCCTACTGGGCTGGCGATGTAGTTCAGTGGTAGAGCACCTGCCTATCATGTTCCAGACCCAGTACCTGGATACCCAGCAAGGGGCAGGGAGATACACATAGTTTCTGCCATTTTGTACATAGGAGGAAAAACCCCTAGGAAGAAGCATATTTGAGTCTTACAGTGATTTTTACCCTCTACTTGTTTAGTGTGCTGAGTAGCAAGTGAAAACCGAGTTGTCAGTTTTTCTACTTGTGTTTTAATTTTTAACATAGTATGTGTGATTGATGTCATAAATCTTTCACAAGATTATCCAACACAAATAGCTATAAGTTCCTTTTACAACTCAAAAAAGAACTTTTGGGCTGGGGTTGTAGCTCAGTGGTAGAGCACTTGCCTAGCACATGTGAGGCACTGGGTTTGATTCTCAGCACCACATAAAAATAAATAAATAAAGTAAAGGTATTGTGTTCATCCACAAGTTATATATATATTATAAAGTTATATTTATAAATAACTTTGTATCAACATTCCCTTTTTAATGAAAATTGCATAAGATTTCAACAGGATCTGCCTACATTTGTTTACAGCACAAAAGTGGGAATCTGTTTAAAAATCTACTAACATTACAGTCTGTCTTCTTGGGAAGAGTTTATTCTTTTCTAGGTTATATTTAGATTTCTGATTGACATGATGGAATAAAAGTGCAGCTGTAGCAAGCCATATGCTAAATAGTTCAACTTTGGAACATGCTAAATTCAGTATGAGTCAGAAAGTTACAGTGAAAGAAAATTTTTCTGTGTGTAATGAGGACAGTCTGTTAATTTTAAAAAATCAGGTGTTGACCTGTTACAGTCTTAAAAATTTACCAGAGCTGTGGATGTAGCTCAGTTGTAGAGTGCTTACCTTGCATGCACAAGGCCTTGGGTTCGATTCCCAACACCACCAAAAAAAAAAAGAAAAATCTCCAGTTTTTTTTCTTGTAATGTTGCTTTTTTTTTTTTTTTTTTTTTTAAACTGGGTATTGAAAGCCACAGAGACTTTACCACTGAACTATATTCCTAGTGCTTTTTATTTTTATTATTTTTTAAAGACAGGGTCTTGCTAATAATAATTTTATAATAACAATTAACAATATACATTTTAAAGTGATAAGGTTCTCACATGTTTAAGTTTGGGCCTTCAGTAAGTTTAATTAACTAGACTGCTTCAGGCCATTTCCCTTGTTCAGTGTGATTTGGCTTTAACTGAGCGCCTTAAGCATTCCGAGACAGTTCTGTTAAATGCAAATTAAGGCTGAAATAATTTTATCAACCATTAAATCTGCGAAATACAGTAATTTAATTAAAACTTTCTTTCTGTTTTGATTATTTGAGTTTAAGAAAGTAGACTTGATATTGGAAATCATAGATATCTAGAGGAAGTTATAAGCTATTAAAATTGTTTTATTACTGTTTTTTTTGTGAACACCTTTTTTTTTTTTTTTTGGTACTGGGGAGTGAACCTAGATTCTCTTTACCACTGAGCTATAGCCCCAATTCTTTTTTTTTTTTTTAATTTATTTTTTAGTTTTAGGTGGACAGAATATCTTTATTTTCTTTTATGTGGTGCTGAGGATTGAACCCAGTGCCTCATGCATGCCAAGTGAGCACGCTACCACTTGAGCCACATCCCAAGTCCAGCCCCAGTCCTTTTTATTTTTTATTTTGAGACAGGGTCTCAGTGAACTGCTGAGGCTGGCCTTGAACCCGAGATCTTCCTGCCTTGGCCTCCTGAGTTGCTAGGATTACAGGCATGCGCCACCAGGTCCTGCTGAACACATACTCTAACATGTTCTATTGTGTTATGGAATGAATTGACATTTGAGAATTTAAGGGCTGTAAGAATCTACATTGGAAGTTCTTTGGCCTTAAGCAAATCTGTTAATTAAGGTCTCTCCACTTATGTATAAATAATATTTGATGTGAGTTAATAGCTTTCAAGCTTTTTTTTTTTTTAATGGTTCTGAGAATTGAACCCAGGGGTTCTCTAACACTGAGTTGTAACCTGTCTTTTTATTTATTTTTATTTTTTTGAGACAGGTCTTGCTAATTGACTTTTCTTTAAAATTCTTTTAAAATTCTAGTCCCTCTTACACTGGTACTTTTGTAACATACAATAAAAATAGATCCCTGGAAAATAAAATGAAAAGCATACATAAAGTTAAAACGTGCTTTTTTGTTATTAGGTTCAATAAACATAAAATTGCTTTGTCAGATTGTTATAAACATTCTTAAATGCTTATTTTGAATTTCCATTCAACTCATTGTATACAGTTCAAGCAGCAGCCATTACAAGCACATCTGATGCAAGTCTCTGGACCACACTTCACTTTGAGTAGCTTTGCTCCAAAGCCTAAATCATAATCTTTTTTGGAAACTAGGTGGGAAGCAATTTTGAAATTAGAGGATCTGCATGATTACAGATAAGTTGTAATAATGAAGAAGGAGAATGATATATTGTATTCTCTAAATAGTCATTCATATAGATTTTCCCTCCAAAGGGACATGTGTAATTTGCACAATATAATTTATATCAGGTACTTTTCAAGGTTGGATTTTTATTATTCTTTTTCTTAAAATTGATAATTTGTGGTAGGTATACTGGAGATGGAACCCAGATCCTTGTGCATGCTAAGCAAGCAATCTACTATTGAGCCCACATCGTTATTTATTTATTTGTGTCAGGGGTTGAATTCAGGGGTGCTTAACCACTGAGCCACATCCCCAACCCTTTAAAAAATATTTTATATATATATTATTAGAGACAGGGTCTCACTAAGTTACTTAGGGCTTTACTAAGTTGCTGAGGATGGCTTTGAATTTGTAATCCTCCTGCCTTAGCCTCCTAAACTGGGATTACAGAAATGTACCACTACACCCAGCAAGCCTAAATCTTTTGTTTTTGTTTTGCTTCTACCACTCAACAATTGTTTAGTGAATACTGCTAAGCACTTGCTTGGCATTGTGGTAGATACTGGTAGGATGTAGTTGGTGAATTTTACTCTGCCATTGGAAAGTGTATTGGAAACCCCATGTACAATTCCCAGAAATACCTTCTCTGCCATTATCTCATTAGATTCCCAGGAATAGTGATATCATGGAGGATTTTCTTTTTAATTTCTAAACTTTTTTTTTTTTTTCAAATCTCTTTTCACCCCTCCCCAGAAAGACATGGGTTGGTATAGCAATCATAAAAAGAAGATACAGGGCTGGGGCTCATCAGTAGTACACTTGCCTGGCATATGTGAGGCACTGGGTTCAATTTTTGGCACCACATATAAATAAATAAAAAATAAATGTCTATCAACAAATAAAAAATATTAAAAAAAAAAAAAAAGGAGGGCTGGGGTTGTGGCTCAGCGGTGGAGTGCTCGCCTTGCATGTGTGTGACCCTGGGTTCGATCCTCAGTACCACATAAAAATAAATAAATAAAATGAAGGTATTGTGTCCAATTACAACTAAAAATTAATATTAAAAAAAAACAAAGGAGATCCAAACACAAGAACCAAAATGTCTCCCACACTAACACAAAAAACTGGGAATTGTACATGGGGTTTCCGAACAGGACCTGCAGCAGCTACTAATGTCCCTTTATGACAGTCAGACATTCCTATGATATAGTATATGTATATATATATATAGAKAGAGAGAGAGACACCTCATTCTGGAACTAATTTACAGGGACATCCCAACACCTGCCTATTTTAATACATTAAGCACAAAAAGGGGAGTAAAGGAAGAAAATTAAATAGGAAGAAAAAGTCAGGCCACACTTTGGTTTGAAGGAGGGCAAGGTGGCTAAAGAGTACAGAGTGGTTGCAAGGGATGTGTTTCCTCTTCTGGTGAAGAATTGGCAACCACCTGAATGACAGAGTCCAAAATGACACCCTTCTTTATTGTGTTTCTTAAAAACAACCAAAAATGTAGAGCAGTGGTTATGCCAGGGGCAGCACCAGTTTGGCCACCCCAGCAACCTACTCGGAGCAGTGCCTGAGTCCTGCCTTTCCCTTAAGGGAGCACCAGGTATAAAGTCATCAGACCAGCCTGCCTGCTCTACCTAAGCAGGTTAGGGAATTGAGGACGCAGCTCTGAGTGCATTTATGATCACCTGGGTTCTGATGAAGAGTGTCTTGTTTTCCTCACAATATCTCCAGGATATCTACAATCAGTTCAGCTACAACTAGACATTGCTGTCTTCCCATCATAGCTGGCTGCCTTTTGCATGCCCCTTGGCATTCTGGAGGAGGGGGTAGGAGAGGGGAAGGGAGTAGTTCCAGGTACCCTCTAAAACCCTCTGAAGATGAAATGGAAGTGAAGTCATTTTACACACTTAGCATGCAGGACTAGCTGCCTGGGAGGTAGATGAAAGTGGGAAGGAAATGGAGAAGGTTCAGAAAGGACGAAAAGGAAACAGGAAGAAACTAAGTGACACCTATTAGAGGAAGGCCAAGAAGCAGTGAAAAGGATGAAGTGATATGAAATTTACATGTAAAGAAAAGTCTTTCTCTGACAGATTAGAGAATCAGTATTTTAAATACAACTTACTCCTTTATTTTTTTAAACTGTAGTACCTACGTCCCCAGTGCCTATCTCTGTAGTTCAACTCCACCTCACCCTTAAAGTATATGATTCTTAAGAGTCTTAAAAACTTTTGCTAGATTAATGAGTCAAGAAGTCATTTTGACCTATCTTTTTTTTTTAATTGTAGATGGACACAATACCTTTATTTCATTATTTTTATGTGATGTTGAGGATCAAACCCAATGCCTCACATGTGCTAGGCAAGCACTCTACCACTGATACACAACCCCAGCCCTTGACCTATGTTCTTATAATGTATTTTAAATGAAACGCATCACACTCTTCCATCCCCACAAACAAGAAAATAGAGAATACTGATTTATATATTTTAAAAGGTACTATATATCATACTATTTTGAATGAAAAATGTGCTTTATCCATTTGAAGTGTAATCATTCAACAAATTCATGTTATAACAAAACTTTTCAAGAGTATATTACTTTGGTGAAATAAGCCTATATTAAGATGATTGTTGCTTGGGGAAGTCTTTACCTTTTTTTTGTTTTTTCAGTAGCTGCCTTATTATGTGTCTTTCAAGTTGAAAATGTGCTAAATACTTTTTTCCCCTCCTATACACCATGGACTTTTCTGGGTGTAGGTTTAAGATACATGGCACAGGGTAGCAGTCAGACTTCTGGGAAACAAGTGATGTGTATTTGTTTAACCCCCAAGTTGTTTTTTTTGTTTGTTTGTTTGTTTTGTTTTTTTAATTTCTCTCTTTTTACTTTCACTCTAATAAGATCCTTAGTGAGACTCTCATCAACAATCCATAAGTTTCCTTTGTTCAAGTTCAGAAAAAACCTTTACTAGTCTGCCAGAAAAAAAGTGGTATAATAAACATATACAAATCTATGATGTTTACAGTACAACTAAACCTCCTCAGGTATGATAGTACTGTATAACTTAAAAAACACGTACAATCTTAAATGGTGGCCCTGTTTAGGAGCCATTTCTGTTTATCTTTTAAAATTCTCATTTGTGTAAAATGGGAATGATTACAAATGATGTAAAATATCCCACTGTTTAAAAGATACTCTCTCCAGCCAGGTGTGGTGGTACATGCTTATAATCTCAGTGACTCAGGAGGCTGAGCAGGGGCATCACAAGTTTGAGGCTAGCCTGGGTAACTTAGTAAGACCCTATCCCAAAATAAAAGTTAAAAAGGGCCAGGGGGGTGTAGCTCATGGTAGACTGCCCCTGAATTTCACCTCCAGTATTGGGGGGGTGGGGAGAATACTATATTCACTTCTTAATATTTATTAGCTAAAATGTGTTTAAAATTTAGATTAAGGTCAATGCAGTTTTTTAAAAAAATCTTTTTAAATATATTTTTTTAGTTGTAGATGGATATAATACCTTTGTTTTGCTTATTTATTTTTATGTGGTGCTGAGGATCAAACCCAGTACTCACATGTGCGAGGCAAGTGCTCTACTGCTGAATCACAACCCCAGCCCCCATATAAAAAATAAAATTTGAGACAGGGTTTCACTAATTGCTGAGGGCCTCTCTAAGTTGCTGAGGTTGGCCTCAAAGATGCAATCCTCCTGTCTCAGTCTCCTGAGTTGCTGGGATTACAGGTATGCTTCACTGCACCTGGCTGGATTTTCTTAATGTCTAGTAATTTGTGCCATCTTGAAAGATTGTCTCTCTATTCTATTGATTTGTTCTGTAAATTTAATATTTGAAATTATAAATATATTTGGCTTGATTAATATGATGTTAGCTGTTTGGGTCATGTACACTTATTAAGCTTCTCCTTTAGATGATTTTTTTTTGGGGGGGGGTATCAGGGGTGCTTTAACTGCTGAGCCACATCCCCTCACCCCTTTATATTTTTATTTTGACAAAGGTCTTGCTAAATTGCTTAGGGCATTGCCAAGTTGCTGGGTTTGAACTTGTGATTCTCCTGCCTCAGACTCCTGAGGTTTGTGCCAAAGCACCAGGTTGTCTTTAGATTTAAGAGAAAAAAGAATAGAGGGAAAACATTTCAAGTTGTTTGAGTGATTATTATGTGCTAGACATTTTATAAAATGCCTGTGTCAATTACTTGTTGATTCCTATAATCCTAACACTAATAAAGCTGTAATAATAAATATGTTATCTTGTTCTCTCTGTGGGGCCAGCCTTTAAGCTTATATTTATATTCATTTATTCTTTACAGCCTCCTGATCCAATGATATGTAGATACTATTCTTTTTTAGAGGTGAGAAAACTGGGGCACAGAGGTTAAGGGGTTTATCTAGAGTCATATACCAACATGAAATAGAGTTTGGAGTCAGTTCCTGGCAATTTGACTTCAAGGGCCTGCATACTTAACCACTATAAGGCCTCTGATTATAGGAAGATTATGATATAGATGCTATTCTTATTATATAGGTGGAAGAACTGAAGCTTAGAGATATTAAGCAATGTTTCTAAGGCTGTACAAATACTGTCACCTAGGTTTCAGTTCTACATCTGCTTGATTTCTTTTTTTTTTTTTTTAACCTTTATTTTTATGTGGTACTAAGACTCAAACCCAGTGCCTCACACTTACTAGGCAGGTACTCTACCACTGAGGCATAACCACATCCCCCATCTGTTTGATTTCAAAATGGGTAGATTACATCTGTCTGGGAGGATCAGGCAAACTTGATTTGAAGATGGGGTTTGATCTGTGCCTTGAATGCATTGTTGTTGTCAGGGAATGTGGGAAACTCTGGTTCCTGTTGGAATTTAGCAGAAGTATGCAGAGATTTAATGGCATGATATGGGGAGCTAGATCCTGGAAGACCTTAGTTAGTAGAGGGTTAAGGAAATCAGACTTTCATGAATATGGTGGGAAACCATAAGCCATTCACTTGGTTTTCTTTGTTACTGTCCCGGGCTAATTATTGAAATACTTGACTGTTTATGTCATTCAAAAAAGAAAAGACAAAAGTTTTGGTTTCTATATTGACACTTCAAAAAAGTTTATTAATTCAAGTGAAAACACTTAGGCTGCCTAGTCTTCACTTATTTTTCTACTGTATCTCACGCTCTTTGAAACCAAAAATTATGTGGTGRTGATGTGATATAAGAGAACTCAGAATGATGCCTTTCTGAAGTTTCATGGGGGTTGGGGATGGAAGAGGGTGGGAGATAGGGAAAGGGTTAATTAATTATAATTAACAGTAGTAATTTGCTTTTTCATATCAAGATTTTTTTTCACAGAAGCTTGATGAAAACAATTTAACATTTGAAATGAAGTTGCAAATCATGTCTTTAAAACCAGTTTATATAGGAAAATAGATTTGTAAGGGCACATTTGTTATTTCCCCTAAAGAGCAAATCCCTGAAGTTAGAATTGAGGTTATCTTTACCAAGGACATTCTGGTTCATAATTGTTGAAAGACTACAAAAACTGATTAACTAAATTGAGTTATTCTATTTTTTTTAGCCACCTAAGTTTTATTATTGGCTCAAAATACAGAATAGGCCTTTAAGATATGAATCACCATATAGAAATCTATAAATGTAATTTTAAATACTGTGAACCAAAAGGAAATTTTATGGCAGAAAACACACAGAAAAACTTCATGTTCTATAGGTGGGGAAAAAAAGCTATATTTTAATCACGTTCACATTTTTATTTTTCTAGCTCTAGAAAGTTTGGGATTTGGCTCTTACATCAGTGAAGTAAAAGAAGTCCTACAAGAATGCAAGACAGTAGCGTTAAAAAGAAGAAAGGCCAGTTCTCGTTTGGAAAACCTTGGCATTCCTGAAGAAGAGTTATTAAGACAGCAACAGGAATTATTTGCAAAAGTAAGTGATACATTTTAAATTATTTCATCTGAATACTATCCTGTTTGTTGACAGAAATTGTACTGGTTTCTGAAATCACTTCTTAAATCAACATATGTGTCTAGAGAATTCTGTTTCTCTGGCTAATCACTTGATTATAGAATCTGATATTTAGAGCTGGCCAGTTTGACTCAGGTTTTATAAAAGTAAATATTTACAGCAACCTGTTTTCTAAAAAGAGCCATTCCAAATAAATACTGAGATTTTACTTTGATGTATTTTCAGACAGAATGATCATTTAAAAGCCTGAAAAGTATACCTAAATGTTAAGATTTAAAATGAATGGTTTAACAAGAAAATACTGTATCAGATTTTATGATAAGGAGGATACAAGGAAAATCTAATTGACATCTAATTTGTAATTAAATTGGGTCTTTATTATACCTTTAAAACATTCTAATCTTAACATTTGTTAAAGAACTAATAAATAGGGGCTAAGGGTGTACACGTGTGAGGCACTGGGTTCAATACTCAGCAGCACATAAAAAATAAAGGTAATATGTCCATTTGCAACTAACAAAAACATTAAAAAAAAGAACTAATAAATAGAGCAGAAAAAGGAAGAAAAGTTTTCTTCTTTCTTGCTTTTTATAATTCTAATTTCTACTCTATTAAGGATTAGCACCAATATCTCTATTTTTCAAAAGGAGGTAGAGGTGGCAAGGCTTGGTTTTCTTGTTGTTGTTTTGTTACTTTTTTTTTATTTTTTAAGAAATTGGAAGATAGTTTGGGGTTGAATACAAGTGAGATTTTTCATTAGGTACTATAATAGCCATTAGAGAACTGAGAAGTATCATTTTAGTCAAACTCTTTCAAATTAGTATCATAATTAGTCTTCCTGCAGTTATATTAGTTTGGTTTACATCAAAAAGCATTTGAAGTGGGGGTTGTAGCTCGGTGGTAGAGCTCTTGCTTGCCTCATGTATGTGGGGCCTTGGGTTTGATCCTCAGCAACACATAAAAATAAAGATGTTGTGTCTGCTGAAAACTAAAAAATAAATATTAAAAAAATTCTCTTTCTCTCTTAAAATAAATAAATAAATAAAGATATYATGTCCATCTACAGCTAAAAAAATATATATTAAAAAAAAGCATTTGAAGCTGGGGTTGTAGCTCAGTGGTAAAGCACTTGTCTCGAAGTAAAGCACTTGTCTCGAATGTGTGAGGCATTGGGTTTGATCCTCAGCACCACATAAAAATAAGTAAAGATACTGTGTGTTCATCTACAACTAAAAAAAATATTTTAAAAAAAGCATTTGAGTAGGCCTGTAATCCCAGCTGCYCTGAAGGCTGAGGCAGGAGGATCAGGCAAGAGGATCTCATGTTCAAAGCCTGCCTCAGCAACGGTGACGTGCTAAGCAACTCAGTGAGATTCTGTCTCTAAATAAAATACAAAGTAGGGCTGGGGATGTGGCTTAGTGTAGTCGAATGCCCCTGAGTTCAATCCCTGGTACAAAAACAAACAAAAAAATCTATTTGTCATATATATATATATWTTTTATTTATTTTATTGGGCATTAGGCATGAGGTACCATTTAAACAAGTAAAAAATATAATAACTTATCAACATTTATTGAGTTTTGCCTATGTATTGATCACATTGTCAAATAATTTACCTTTATTATCATTTAATCATAAGAACCTATGAAATAGGTACAAAAGAGGAAAAGGCCTCTAAGGCAATCCTGAACACATGCAAATTATATTATAATCTATATTATAATACATATGAATATGAGGTACCAAAAAAAGAATGATGATTTTTTTTTGCCAGGGCAGGAGGGTACTAGGGATTAAACCCAGGGATTCTCAACCACTGAGCCACATCCCCAGCCCTTTTTTATTTTTTATTTTGAGACAGGTCTCATTAAGTTGCTTGGGGCATGGCTCAATTGCCAAGGCTAGTTTTGAACTTGTGATTCTCCTGCCTCGCCTCAGCCTCTTGAGATACTGGGATTACAAGTATGCGCCACAGTGCCTCGCCAAGGATATGTTTTTTAAAAACATAAACAGCTATTATTTTATTGATTCTCTACTATTGGAGATCACTAGGGGGCGCCAAATATACATGAAAGAAAGTAGACGCTTTGCTAGATTCTTTACATACCTTGCAAGATTTTAATAAAATAATGTAAATTTTATTATGTTCATTTGCAACTTAGGAAATAGATCCATCCATCCTTCCTTCCTTCCTTTCTTTCTTTCTCTCTTCCTTTTTTTCTTTCTTATATTGGGGATTGTATCCAGAGAGGCACTTCAACACTGAGCTAGCTATATCCCTAGTCCTTTTTAATTTGTATTTTGAGACAGGGTCTCACTAAGTTGCCAAGGCTAGCCTGGAACTTGCATTCCTCCTGCCTCAACATCCCCTGTTGCTAAAATTATAGGTGTGCACCACCACATATGGCTTGTCACCATTTTCTACGTAAATTTACTTTGGAAATTTAAATAGAGTTTGATTTATCCTTGCCAGGGCAGAAAGGTAAATGAAATAATTGTCTTCACCTCTTCATATCTGTCTTCACCTCTTTATCATGATAATCTGCTTTTTTTTTTTTAAAGAGAGAGTGAGGAGAGAGAGAGAATTTTTAATATTTATTTATTTATTTTTTAGTTCTCGGCGGACACAACATCTTTGTTGGTATGTGGTGCTGAGGATCGAACCCAGGCCGCACGCATTCCAGGCGAGCGCACTACCGCTTGAGCCACATCCCCAGCCCGATAATCTGCTTTTTAAAAAAAAGGTTTTTTTTAGTTGTTAATGGACCATTTATTTTATTTATATGTGGTGCTAAGAATCGAACCCAGTGCCTCACACATGCTAGGCAAGCACTCTGCCACTGAGCCCCTGATAATCTGCTTTTTTAAATTCCTCTCTTTCTTTTTAATATTTTTTAGTTTTTGATGGACCTTTATTTTATTTATTTGTATATGGTACTGAGAATCGAACCTAGTGCGTCATACACGCTAGGCAAGCACGCTACCACTGAGCCACAACCTCAGCTCCTAATTGCTCTTTCTTATGTCCCTTAATTCTTACTCTGGCTTGTGGGTGAAGATTCCTAGTATTTACTTTTATGAAGAAGATCAGCAGAGAGGTAAAATTGTGGCAGCTACCTAGTACTTCTTCCCTGGAGAAAAGTACTTAAGTTCTTAGTATGAAAGGAACTAAGTAAATGTATCTTTTTAAATTAATTTTACTTCTAGACTTTATTCAAATAGTAACACAGTGACAACCTCATTTTAAGCTAACTGCAGTTATTTGGAAGGGGAGAGCTTTAATATATCAAGGTTGAAGTTAAGTATAAATTAATAATTTTATCATTCGGAAGTAAGAATGTTAACATACGCCAGCCACAGTGACGCATGCCTGTAGTCCCAACAGCTCGGGAGGCTGAAGCAGGAGGATCACGAATTCAAAGCCTGCCTTAGCAAGAGTGAGGCACTAAGCAACTCAGTGAGACCCTATCTCCAAACAAAATACAAAATAGGGGTAGGGATGTGGCTTAGTGGTCAAGTGCACCTGAGTTCAATCCCMTGTACTCAAAAGGAAAAAAAAAAAGCCAAAACAAACAAAAAAGAACATTAACATATAATGAAAATTTCCAAAAAGAAGCAGTGAATTAGAAAGTATATACCTTTTTTTTTTTCCCCACATCCTCATTTTAGAAGATACATACTTGGGGGAAGAAGGGCAGAAAAGGGAACTACTGGGGAATGATACTGGCTAAATTATATTGTTAAGTTGTGTGTTACAAATATGTAACAACAAATCCCACAAGTAAGTATAACTGTAATGCACCAATAAAAAATATGAGGGAAAAAATAAGAGAAGTACTTGGGACTSTTGGGTAGAAGGCAAAAGAGAAAGAAATAGTAAATACCATTGAAAATAAGAAATTTTGGAAATGCATACAAATATATTAGTCAACAACAATTTTTAATGGCATAAATACTTTTGTGTTCAGAGAGCAAAATATAAAAGCTTATGGAATCATGGTACCTAACAGCCAGTGAAGTTTGAAATATAAATAACACATACTTTTAGAGATCATTGAATAAATAATAAAATCAAGCACCTTTTCGATAAAGCTTTAATGGAGTTAAATTATTTGAAATTTTATTCTGTCACAAAATTATGCAGAGTAGGTATTCTCAAATTGATTAAATTAATATCTTCCCCACCCCCACAGTTTTCTTGTGAACATTTAAATGTTTTTAGTGAAGCATTCAGTCTCTTTTGAACTCTTTGAGTATTCCTGCCATAAAAATAAATATTTCTGTTGGCAGGGTTGGGGRTGTTGTTTGGTGGATTGAACCCAGGGGTGTTTTACCATTGAGTTATATCTCAACTTCTTTTTAAATTAATTTTGAGGCAGTCTCATTAGGTTTCTGAGAGTCTCACTAAGTTGCTAAGGCTTGCCTTGAACCTGGGATCCTTCTGCTTTAGCCTCCATAGTTGCTGGGATTAGAGGTGTGTGCCACGGCCAAGCTAACAATAAATATGCCTGTGTATTAGAACTGTGTGCCTACTTCTTTATAAATAGGTAGAAATAATTATTAGAATAGCTGGTTTCTAATTTCTAAAACAAAAGGAAGCTTACTGTAAAAATTGTCTTTATCTACTAAATACCTTTAGTCTTTTCCTTAGTCTTTTCTTCTTCTGACTTTAACCATATACAGGTCTCTCTTCCATCTGCTGCTATAATTATATATGGTACCATCTTTTGAAAACGTATGCCACTTTTTCTTGCAGTTTGATTTATGCCCTACCACAGAGATATCACCAGATCGAGTGACTTTTTTCCCCCTTAGGTGTTCACTTTTTTTAGTTTTTGTTTTGTTTTTGTGGTATTAAATAGAGATGGAACCCAGGGGCACTCTACCACTAAGCCACATCACCAACTCTATTTTTTTWAATTTTGAGATAGGGTCTTACTAAGTTGCCTGGGCCAGCCTTGAACTTGAGATTCTGCTGTCTTGGCCTGCAGGTAGCTGAAGTTACAGGTGTGTACCACTGTGCACCTGGCAAGGTTTGTTTGTTTGTTTTTAATAACAAAATAGCCATTTACCTAGACATCTTCCTTTATTAACTTTTGATACTGTGGTTGCTTGGATAGTATTCTCCAAGATAATAATATTTCTTTTCTTCTACTTCATTACCACCACCCTCACCCAAATCACCTGATTCTGGCTCTTGAGTCAACAAATCTTAAATTAAAATTCAATTGACAGGGCTGGGGATGTGGCTCAAGTGGTAGCGCGCCCACCTGGCATGCGTGCGGCCCGGGTTCGATCCTCAGTACCACATACAAACAAAGATGTTGTGTCAGCTGAAAACTAAAAAATGAATATTAAAATTCAATCTCTCTCTCTCTCTCAAAAAAAAAAAAAAAAGATAATGAAAGAATACCATGAACAACTTAAAAAAAAATTCAATTGACATATGGGTCCCCACTGATATGAGACATATATACATATATATGGTGCTGCAGATGTACAAAGATGAAGAATATATTGTTCTTATTTGAAACTAAGGATATCTTGTAGGTGAGAGAAAATAGATACACTAAAAATTGTAATATAATACTGTTTTGATAAGAAAGATAACTATAATATAAGGCTAATTAACTCATGAAAAAGAGATCTCATGTCAGAGATATTATATCAGATTTGGGGGATATAAAAGTGTGCCAGCTAAGTAGTTATCTTAATCTAAAAACCCATTTTCTATGCTGTGTTTTATTACTAGACCTAGCATATTATGCCAACCCCACTTCCCACTCCCCTTATCTACAGAGAATCCTTAGGTGATGCCTGAAAACACAGATATTACCAATCCTACACACAAAAAAACTTGTGACAGCCACAACTAATTTCTGAAGCAAAAGGAAGCTTACTATAAAAATTRTCTTTAACTACTATACCTTTAGTCTTTTCCTTAGTCACTTCCTCTGACTTTAACCATATACAGGTCTCTCTTCCATCTGTTGCGATAATGATCTTTAGTACCATCTTTTGAAAATGTATGCCACTTTTTCTGATAACCAATACAGCTATTAAGTGAGTGATAGGTGGGTTAGCATATACAGCATGGATATGCAGAGGGATGATTCACATTCTAGGTGGGGTAAAGCTGGACAATGTGAGATTTCACCATGTGCATAATGGCACACAATTTAAAATTTATGAATGGTTTATTTCTAGAGTTTTCCATTTATTATATTGGTTGACTATAGGTAACTGAAACAATGGAAAGTGAAACTATAGATGAGGGGATTTCTGTACTCTGCAAACCACATCTGCTTTCTAACCTATCTCCTGCCACTGGAGGGTCTCTTGAGGGATATTACAAGGCTAGAAAAAGTAAAAGTAGCAAGTTGTTTTTGCTTCCTCTTGGCTTCCATTTCCTTTGAGCAACCCAGGAACACTTCTTCACCCTGGCTACATGAGTTTGTCTTGTAGCAAGAACTGAATCCAGTTTGCATTTTCTCTAATACCATAACTGCACCTTCCTCCTCAAGGTTGTGGATCTCAACCCTTGGGTCCTTCTCTAACCTCAGATATGTTAGTACCAACTAATTTATGCCTCTTCTTCAGAGGTTTGAGTTTCAGTTCCATGTGGTTGTCCCTCTAAACTTCTGAGTTTTAAAATTTCTAGCTTCTTCCCTAGTTTTAGGGTTGTTAGCTGCTCCCTATATTTGCCATCTCCTTGGTATCTTGTCAATTACCGGTTACCAACTTTATACTTAATTAATAAACCTTTATATTAAATTCTTTCTGTTCCCATAGTGTGACTTCTATTTCCTGATTATACATCGACTGATACTAGAAGGAGAAAATAGTATTTCAATGTGACTTGATGGAAGGGTTTAATTTCATTGGTAAAAATTAGGAAATTTCAAATAAAATGAATACCAGCAAGAGTAAAGGTAACAAAGATAAAGTATGGTGTAAATTTGGGAAACATTTAATGTTCTATGGTTTTTTGTTTTGTATTTTTCTTTAAGCATAAGAGTAGGGAATTATGATAGAAATTTGGAAAGAAATATCAGGGTAGCTAGTGCATTCATGTGTAATTCCTTTTTTTTCCCTAAGACTTAAAGATATTGTACAGAGAACTTTTAAGCCACAGAAATAATTTTTATATTAACATTTTTATATCAAAATTGTAATCAGATGAGGGGATAGAAAAATTAAATAAAGGGAAAGAAGCCAAAGAAAGAAAATTTTGATTTCTGTAAACTTTTTTAACTTCTTCATTGAACCTAAAGATCACAGAGTTCTTGTTTTCCAGATGTACCTTAAATATACAGTAGTTGGAAAATATCCAAGTTTGTAGTAACTAAGTTAATTGGCTTACTTTACCTTTAACCAAAGTATATACATTGAGGGTTAAAAGATTATTTACTTTTATGTGTTTGATGTTTAGGCAAGACAGCAACAAGCAGAATTGGCTCAACAGGAATGGCTTCAAATGCAGCAGGCTGCCCAACAAGCCCAGCTTGCTGCTGCCTCAGCCAGTGCATCCAATCAGGCAGGATCTTCTCAAGATGAAGATGATGATGATGATATCTGAAATTCACCAGCTGAGTTTGTGTTTCTTCTATAAATGTTTTTTCTTGCACAACAAAACAGTGAAAGAAATGCTTATCTGTAATTTTGTATACATCTTGGTGGACTTGCCAATTGGTATTCTAGGGATGTCTGCTGTTAAGTTTCATCTATTGTGTGCTATACATGTAAAAACTGTATCTTTGAACTATTGAAAATTTAAGGTTCAGAATATCAATTTTGAATTTTTAATGGCGTTTATGAAATTTTAGATAGCAGTGAGCCCTTTATTTGATCAATAAACAGTGTTACAAAAACTTCAAGTTTATAAAAATACAGTGGAATTTATAAAGAAGTTCTTAATCTGCATTTGCATTTCCTCTGCCCTTTTAACCAAATTAAAATTGGGAATTTTAAATTGAGGTGGGGTGCAGTGTGATGCAGAATAAATTGGATCAGGTTGGTGAAAAAAAAGAGTTCAGTTATGTATTATCTGAATTTTTTGTCTTTTAAAATGAGTATATACACAGGCAATAAACATGCTCAGATAAATATACTTATTTAGAGAGTCCTCAATACAAGACATTTAAAAACTAGGAAGGGAGTGTGTTCAATAGTAGTTGTATAAATTTGATGAGTTACATTTTTTTTGTTTTGTTTTGCGTAGAGGTGAAAGCTAGTTTTATTATAGCATAATTTATCTTGAGCTACACTATTACATTTCAAAGACTGCCCAATTTTGAAGACTGTCATTATTCTTACTATTTCACTCCAGTTCAATACTTGTTATAGTATTACTTGCTTAGTCCATTCATGTTTATATTGTTCAAGTATATAGGTGGGACTTGTGAAACAATTGCTTAGTTCCGTTGGTTTAACTGAGGTTCATGAATATTCAGACCTTTGCTAGGGAAAAGAAATGAAAGCTAATGAATATGCTTGCTATGAAAGAGGGCTTTTTAAAAAATTTAACTTGTAGTTGTAGTTTACTTATTGTTTTTAGCATTACATTTTCTTGACTAGATGGCCTAGAGAATCCCATTGCTACCTTTTGAAATGACATTGTCTCCATCATAATTGAGTAATAGCTTTAAAAAATTGATTCTTTTTAAAGAAAGTGTCATAATTGATCAGCTCTATACGAAACATATAGTTTCAACCTGCTCATTAAAGGGAAGAATCTTTAATCTGGTTCTAATAAATAAAGTATAGTATTGATTATTATAGGAATTCAGCATATTGGAGAAAAATGGCACATTATATTTTGGAAACAGAAAGGAAAAGCTACTTAAAATAACATGAAGTAATTAAATTCCTATGTCAGTTGCCAAATCATTTAAATTTCTATATTCCCCAAGCCCAAAAATAGATTCTAGTTGCCATGATTCCAATTTTAATTGGAGAGCTAAATAAGTAAAGTTTGTAAGTATTAGATGTCTTAATCATATTTTGCATTTTAGAAAAAGGGAAACATCGTTGTATACTTATCAAATACACTTCCCCCATATAAGAAAAAGGTTAATAATTTTGCTGAATGTTACTTCCTGGATGTCATATCCATGAAGTACGTTTGGATGAGATGGAATTGTTTTTTAAAAAGTTTAAGTACCAAAGGTAGTCTAGTCTAGAGAAATAATAAGTTAATAAGTATTGGCTTTTCCAATTTGTACTGTAACATTCTTATACTTTTTTTTTTTTTGGAGTGTATCTATTTCTCAAGTAAACAACTTAGATATTTTTCCATGCCTTTTTCTTTCTGATGCAGAGTTCAGGTTAATTAATATTTTACTGCATCTGATAATGTATTATATGTTTGAAGCCTATGACTTTTCATTTTGACATTCTTGTGATTTCATATGCTGTATTCTTTAAGCAATAAAATTCTGATGTGTTTTATAAATTGTTTTTATATTTAATGATCTATAGGGAGATATCTATCACTATTTTTACTAGTTTCAGGAATGTTAGACCCAAAAGACATTTTGGTCATTTGGTGTATTTCTTGTTTGTTTACTGTTATTTCAGAAAATGTGATTTTACTTGTGTTTTTGTAATTTACAGCAAGGCATAACAAAACTAATTAAGCAGTATTTTATTTTTAGCATTTTAAAAGTCACTGTTATATGTTGCCAGTCATTAAAACTTCTTAGTCTTTGGAGACAAAAACAAAATCTTCAGAGTTTTTGAGAAATAAAATTGTCGTTTAGTAAAGATTTTTTTCCATCCCCTTGAATATCTATCTTTTTCAGCAGATTGTAAGATTGATAAGCATTGAAAAAGGCACCAATTTTTAAAATTGCATATACCTATATACATACTGGAGAGTGCACAAATAAAGGTCTGTACAAGTTAAATACATTCAGCATCAGCCCTCAGATTAAGTAGACACAGAGCATTATGAACAACCTAAAAGCACCCGGGCCCTTACCTTAATACTGTCTTCTTCTTCCTTAGAAGTAACTACTATTCTCACTTAAAATCATAGATTAGTTTTGCCTGTAACACAAATTTGTTCTCAAACAGTTCTAGAGATGAGAAGTCCTAAATCAGGACTTTCATTAGGTCAAAATCAAGGTATCCACAAGGTTGATTCCTTAGGATTGTGAGAGGAGAATCCTTTTTGATGCTTTTTTTCAGATTCTAATGACTGCCATTACTGGGATTATAGCCCCTTCTTCCATGTGTCTGCTGCTATTCCTACATCATCTTCTCATACATAGTCAGATCTTTCTTCTCTCTTACATTTATGACACTTTTTTTTAACCTTGAAAGGAATTTATGGCTCCTCCAGATATTTCAGAATAATCCTCCCATCTCAAAATTCTGAATTTGATCACATGTGCAAAGTCTCTTACCATTTTAAATGATAGTCACAGGTTCTAGAGATTAGGATCTAGACATCTTTGGAGGCTATTATTTAACCTACCAAAGTGACATTGACCAATATAGTTGCATATATTTGTAGTTCTTTCATTATCTTTGCTGCATTTAGTGTTCCATTTATCCATTTCTTATTACATCCAAAATTTACTATCCATTCTATCCATACTATCTTTGAACATTTGAGGAATTTCCAGTTCTGGGCTATTAGGAACAGTGCTAGTGAAGAACATTTTTATACACTTTTTAGTTATGTGAGTGGGTATGTACCTAGGAGGGGAATTTCTGGGTCATGGGGTGTGCATATTTTTAGTTATAGTATGTGCTTTTGAACCATTTTCCTCAGTGTTTGTAAGAAGGCACCATTTTAATATGTAGCTAAATAATGAATTACCCTAATGGTCTAGGGGCCTAACAATGTTAGTGGATTTCTCAAAACAACTAAATTATATCAAATGAGTTATATTTCTACAGCAGGTCTGCTTTTATTTAATATAAGAGGAAAATAAAAACAGAAGTATTTGTTCTTATTACTGATAGTAGTAGTATGCACTCATTAGGTTATTGCTCCTCAAATGTAATAGAAGTTTAAGGTAATTCTAAATAATAGGTTGAGTTATAAGTAGTGTGTTGAGTTGTAGAAAAATAGGTGATTTAATTTTTCAGTTAGGTTTTAAAATTTTGGTTATAATCTTATTTAAATAAATACACAGATAYTTCCTCATAAAGTTCTCTAAATTATATCTGTCAAACTTATAGATGACTGTGTGACCATTAAAAAAAAGTATTCAGTCCAGATAGTATGCATAGGCACTGCCTTCTTTTGTCTTCAATTTGGATTTTTTGTTTCCTTCTCTGACCCTGGCCCCTTAGCCAGAAGTCCTGTTCTACCACCCTCTCTTTTTCTTCTTACCCAGGGTCAATAAGTATCACAGGTAAGATTACCTAAAGTGAAGAGAATGACAACATTATAAGCAGCCTCTCACCAAAGTGTTACCAGTCCTTATCCAGTTTCCTCAAAATAAATGAAAAGAGAAAGTAGGGAATAAAGGGAGAAAAAATTTAACTTATGACCCGTTACTACTGTAAATCAAGAAACTTAATAAAGCCTTAGAATAGGATATCTCAACCTCAGTATTATTAGCGTTCATTATTATTATTATTATTATTATTTTGTGGGAGGCTATTTTGTACATTGTAGGGTCATTAGCAACATCCTTGGCTTAGACCCACTACATGCTAGTAGCACCCCTTCTAGCCCCACCCCCAGTTGTGACAACCCCAAAATATATCAAGACATTGCCAAATGTCTTTGGGAACAGGGAAGAGGGCTAAAATTATCCATTGTTGAAAATTACTGCCTTAGAATAGTGAGGGTTTCTTTTTAGATAGGGTACTGGGGGAAAGGCTATGAAACTGAATCCTTGTTAGAAGTAACATGATGTTACTGGAAAAAGAAAGAAACAGATGATTTTAAAAGAATAGGCCCAGGATTAAAATGAGTTTTCAGAAAATCCGGTCATACAGGCTGCTCTTAACTTCACGTCTGCTGATCCCTTCAGCCCCTTAGAGTCCAGACCACTTATATATCTGTCTACCAGCTTTCTGCTTTTTCACCTTGCTGCTAGCCACAGATATTTTGACACAGATTTGGTATACTATGTCATTAGTGTGTACATATTTATTTTTTGYGGGACTAGAGATTGAACCTAGGGGCACTCTACCACTACTAAATCCCTAATTTTTGGTGGTGGGTGGGGGATACTAAGGATTGAAATGGACACTCAACCACTGAGCCACATCCCCAGTCCTATTTTGTATTTTATTTAGAGACAGTGTCTCACTGAGTTGCTTAGCACTTCACTTTTGCTGAAGCTGGCTTTGAACTCATGATCCTCCTGCCTCAGCCTCCTGAGTCACTGGGATTACAGGCATGCGCCACTGCGCCTGGCCCTAAATCTTTTTGAGACAGGGTCTTACTATGTTGCCCAGGCAGGCCTTGAACTTGCAATCCTCCTGCCTTAGCATCCCAATTGGCTGTGATTATAGGTGTACAGTATGACACCTGGTAGAATTTCCTTTGTTTATAAGGCTGAATAATATTCCATTATATGTATCACATTTTTTTTATTCATTCATCTGTTGATAGACAATTAGATTACTTCTATCTCTTGGGTATTGTAATGCTGCTGTGAATATTGGTGTACATATAGTTGTTCACGTTCCTAACGTGTGTTATTTTTGAGTGTACAGATCTATATGTTGAGAACTGAAACAGGGAAAGCAGTATAGTGGGAATGTAGGTATAAAAGAGCATTTATAATATATAATAAACATGACATGAACACAGAGCACCAACTCTTTTTATTCTAGAACTTTACCTATGTTATTTCATTCACCTCTGTTATGTAAGTATTGGTAACCCAGGGTGGCAGACTGGTAACACAGGCATAGCATTAAAAATAATAGACATTCAATACACAGTATTTTATTTTTTATTTATGAAGTACCATATCTTATGCAGGAGAATGTAGAGAATCATGCTGCTTCCTTTTAATTTCATATTATATGTTTCTTGCTTTTGTTTGTTTATATGAACAGTACTTGCCTCTAAATAGATGATGTAGAACAGGTTAAAAGGAGATTTGCAGAAATAAGTTGTCAGTGTGGTTGACGATTTTTTTAAAATGAGTTGGGAATAGAGGGAGCAAGATAACATTGCAAAGGATACCAGAAATCATACCTTTTGGGGTTTTGTTTTGTTTTTTATTTGGTACCAGGGATTGAACCCCAGGAGTGCTTCACTACTGGTTTACATCCCCAGTCTTTTTTATTTTGACACAGGATCTGCTAAGTTGCCAAAACTGGCTTTGAACTTACAATTCTCCTGTCTCAGCCTCCCAGGTTGCTAGGATTATAGGCTTGTACCACCATGCCTAGCACTGTGCTTGTTTTTAAGGCATCTAAAGTTTCTCCAGCTTCTGAAGGAAAATACAGCAGGCTCAAAATTGCTTGGGTATGCTAATAGCTCCTAATAAGTTTGCTTCTTCTATTGTACTTATAAAGATGCCATTGAGTTCATATTTGTGTCACTAATAAATTTCTAGAATCTGTGTAGTAGACTGTAACAATGTTGTTAAAATATAAAGGGAGACCATTGGCATTTATTTCAGAAACATTCCCTCTATTACAAAGACAAATTTTCTGAGTTAGGTTTATATATACATTTTCATCGTACATGTAATCAGTAGCCTAACAAAACTTATTTTTAAAAATATCTTTATTTTATTTATTTATTTTATGTGGTGCTGAGGATCAAACCCAGTGCTTCACGCATGCTAGACAAGTGCTCGCTACACAACCCCACAAAACCCAGCCCATCAAAACTTATTTTTTATTATATTTTATAAACAAGAAAGCTAAGATTAAAAGAAATTAAGCAATACAACAACATCTAGTAAGTAAAAATTTGAACCTCAATGTAAGTAGTTTAAAGGAATATTTTTGTTTCACTAGATCATTTTTCCCCAACAGTACTCTGGGAACATTGGAATGAATCTTCATACCTTTGTTTGAAGGTTATTTAAAACATAATCCTGCCTGAGCACAGTAAAATTGTGT